AGCTTGAACGAGTGCTGGTTTCGTCTCAAAGGCCAATTGGGGACATGGCTTCGAGTATTTGAATGTGGAACTGACATAGGTATATACCTGAGTATAAACCAATCGTGTGTCGTTATTTTGAAAGTTCTTTAATTTGAAATTTAAAAACAAAAGTATTTTCTTGTAGTGGAATTTTAAGTATAAATGGTTTTGTAATCGTCAAAGAACTATAAGGATACTTATTTTAATGACATCGTTTAAATTTTAAACGTACTGAAATATTATTCTTCGAAGGCACGGCTCCGACACATCGTTTTTTGTTTTAGAAACAGTACAAAAATGTTGTAAACGCGCCGCTTACAGCTTTTTTTTATATTGACGTTATAAAATATGTCATACGTCAAACGTTTTAAAGTTCATAATTATTTAAACGACATATTAATTGCTGGGCTGGAGCCGTGCTTGTTAGGCGTGCCATAATTCGGTTCTTACAAAACCAGACAAAAATTTATCGTGGTGACCAATGTATTCTACTCTCCAACCACCACAAAACCATTCAACGTACAAATGAACAATTCCAACCTTACACAAACCCAATTTCAAATAACTCAAACAAAATAACAAAAGTTCAAACAGCCAGTCAAAATAATGAACATAACGTAACTTAATCTAGAACAAAGTAAGTTACTAAGTTCACAAACATAATACCTTGAACACAAGTTCATAATAAAGCGCTTAGCGTATTATATCTATGATTTATGGATAACACACGCGATAATCACGTAAAAATGGCCGCCGGCGTAATACTTGTGGCGGGTGACATTGGAACTTCGCAATCCACGCTTGTACCTAGGGTCAAGGTCAAGGTGAAATACAAGGCACCCCCGGGTGGAATGTTTCTAGAAAGTCTCTATAACAATTTGTCATATGAAAGGGGAATATTTGCACGGTGCGCAGTTCTTGGGTACTGTATACTACTGCACTTTATGACTACACAAATTCGTGTTCCTAGCAAGAAAACACGCTTTTTGTCCTTGATGGAATCAATATTAAGGTTTTTAAATTTATTTCTTTACGTAAGACTGCCTCTTTTGCCTAGTGGTCGTAAGTGCGACTGCCAGGCAAGGGGGTTGGGTTCGATTCCCGGGTCGGGCAAAGTATTACTGGGATTTTAAATATTCTCAATAGTAGCACGGAGTCTGGAATTATGCCCGGTATATGACAATAGGCTCACCCCCTATTACATGGGACTCATAACATAAATAGTGAAAAGTGGGTGTTACATTGTACAGTGGTATAATGTGCACCTCTGCCTACCCCTTCGAGGATAAAAGGCGTGATGTTATGTTATGTTTCTTTAAGTAATAAGCTATAAGGTCTATATTACTGCATTGGTCCTTCCGATACTTAGGCTAAATGATATCTTTTTATTTTTTTATAATCAATAATCACATTTTTATTGCTGAATTATTTACAATACAATTTAAATTATATTAAATAATTAACTTAAAATGATTGTATAGATAAGGTGATTTTTCTAAAAGTCTCTATAGCATTTGTCAAAACATATTATCACAAAATGATAGATAGATATAAAGTAATACAGTGCGCAGTACGTGTGTACTGCACTTTATGACTCGTTTAGTAGTTTGAATTCATAATGCAAACAAAGCAACAGATGAATTAGTTAAGCTTCGATTGTGGTTTATAGCCTATAATAAAAATTGTTAGACGTCTCTTATGCAATCACAGATATACCAAATAAATGAAACTATCGTAAATTCGTTAATTAAGAATTATATTATTTTTGAAAGATTATCAGTTAATCATTAACACCAATCTTATAGGTTACTAAAATTATAATTAGTCCGGGATTTTTGTTTTTATTGGATAATCCGGTAAACGAGCAGACATCTCACGTGATAGTAATCAATCGGCGTCGCCCATGGACACCTGGAACACCAGAGGCGTTACAAATGCATTACCGGCCTTTTAGGGATTAGGAATTTGAGAATTGCTGAGGATTCAGTGATTGGGAAACGGGGTGGGGAGGGGGTAATTAGGTCTCCGGTAACCTCATTCACACGACGAAATACAACGGAAGCGTTGTTTAAAGTCCTTTTTCTGTAAGGTCGTGACATCATCCCGGTCGAGCCGGCCCATTCGTGCTGAAGCATGGCCCACAATTTATTTGTTTATAAATCTATTAATATTACAGAGCACAATCATAAAATCTCAATCCTCGATTCGATTTAAAACAATTCTTCGCTCACATTGACAACACACATCGGAAATTCAAACTGCAGATCAGACTCTAAAACAAACAAAGTTATATCATGGTGGTTTAGGAACGTATCCTAAACCACCCCACTTGACCCAGTGCACAGTAAACACGTACACAAGCATTTGTACGCTCCAAAACTGCACAGTTGCCAACGTATTTCATTTTAACCAGTAGCAAGGAGTGCTTTAGCAGAGATACAGCAGAAAATAGTACAAGTATTGCATAACTGCCAACATTCCGCTTATTCTGCTTCAAGAAAATGATTTTATGCTTTCTGCGCAGATTTTGAGTAGCGCAATATTAAGTTTTCGACGTTGCAGCTTCCAGTATTGTGTTATGATGTTGATCTAATGAATTTTCCTCGAGAAAGGAGCGGTATTTAACTAGTACTGCACATTTTCATTGGTTTAGATGATGAAATATGAAATGTGAAACTTTTAGCTAATTAGAGAGAATAGGGATGATGACGGGGTATAAAAATTAAAAATCTAATTAGTCCGTCTATTAGGTAATGACAAAATATTAGACACGTATTTTTTATTTTGTCGTATAAGAAAACAATACTTAGATAAAACGGGTCAAAGTTTACATAGAAGTGACCTCACGCGACATTTCAAATAAATATATCGTCGAAAGTATTTGTATCTGTAAGGAAATAAACAATACGTGTCTAATGTTTTAAAATAATCTACCAGACGGACATTAAAGTAAAAATTAGTCATCTACCCTATTTTAGCTTTTAAATTCAAAGTCTGTCATGCTGACTGAATATGTTATATAATTTTTAACAAAGTCATATAAGTTTAAGTAGAATTATATCTTCTTTTCCAACCTGATAAGTGGTTTTTAAGCATCAAATTAAGACATCTCAATGAGTTGATGCCTATTCAAGAAACGCACGACGTGAAATTGTGACTTTAGAACCACTCAGATCAGCATATTACATCATATTCGTGTCGAGGTTCAAATCATGAGGCCTTTTATTATTTTTGATCACTTATTAAAACAATTTTATAATCATTACAGTAGGTACAACATTCATTTCTGAACTATTGTATACGAATGACAATAATAATACCCACGGGTTTAATAATATTAATTATGTATGTAATGAAATATGTTTCCTATAAACCATTATTTATTTGTTACGTAACCACTACCTACTTACATAAGGACCACCTAATCATCCAAGTTTTAATTATCCTTGTATACTGAAGCAAAGTCGTATTTTCTTTTACGACTAAACTACCAAACGGTAGTTTTTGGACTCAGATTTACTACTTCACAGAAAATGGTGGGCTCAGTGAGTTGCCAGTCGAATTTATGATCTACTGAGGCTCAGAGACTCTCAATCTTGTTACGGTAAGGACGAGGTATTGGCAAAGTTTGTAGTGTAACAAGACTGATTTGAGAAATAATCGATTTCTTTTTCATGAATCACGGAACTACATAATGTTTTATATTTTCTTTATTTTTAAACTTAGTCGATGGGATGGTTGTATTTTCTTTATAATGGGATTTTCTTAATACTTAAATAATGTTCTGAGAAATAAAAGAAAACAACTTGACAACTCAATTCTAATATTCTAATTCCTAAAACAAAACCCACAAAATATTAAATTGCTCTTTCATATTTAACTGGTCTAATATACATCCTGTAGACTCGGAGGCAGTTGTTACTATACAACAAAAAACTTAAGGAACCTCAAAAAGCTTTCAATATTTAATAAAAAAACGAATTTTCTTTTTGTAAAGTTATCATCATGCTCTGTTTCCAATTTGACGAAAAGTAGGACGAGGCTCAGACGAATAAAAGGGAAACTTAAAAACCTGAGATTTGTTCGACTAGTTTAAGGCAGAGGCTCCAGGTGGCAATAAAATATCTCATTTTCTACAAGTTGTCCTTAGCTGGAGATACTCGAGTGGCGCGATGCGTAGCAACAGTAGGGGGTGGGGAGGGAGGTACGAGGGGGGTGCGGCGCCGCTACGTGGGCGAGTCTGTAGTACTTGGTAGTACGAACGGTACAACATCTACCTACAGCGTGTTGTTGTTGTGTCTACATAGATTTGCGCAGGCGCGTCGCCCCGCTGTGTAACTACGTACCGATGTGCGGACTACGCGAACGACCTCGAACTCTACACCAAATATTGATAAGTCGTACTTAAGCTTTTATTCGTTCGTTTTATAAATGTGTCTGGCTGAACTGTCAGTCTTCCATAACACGTTTTGCCGGGATATGCGCAACTTTTGCTCGACTGTGCCAATAAATAAATAAATCACGTAGCTGCGTGTGACTGGATTCTTAGATTTGTTCATTAGATTTTTCTATAAAGTAAACGTGTACGTTTAATGATTTTCTTCGATTTTTATATTAACTAAGCATTTTTCCTACCAAAAATGTTTTATCCATTTATTACAATGCTAGATAAAGCCAATGTATCTGTCCAGAACAGTTTAACACAAAAAATAAAATACATAAGTAGCTTTTTTATTTCGTAGGTATTGAGTTTTTTTAGTTCTGCTTTTTTCATTTTCAATAATTTAATGAACTAACTCGCGTATTACGCAATAAAAATTTACTAACTTCAAACGATGGCTGAGTAGATTAACATTATCATAAAAAATCTATTAATTTTGTGGTAAAAGATAATGGCCACTTATCTCTTTGCCGTAGTTTTTAAAAAATAATGAAAGCTCGTGTAACTGCGGTGCGGCACGTCAGTAACAAAAACTTACCTTCGTCTTGATTACTTCCAAGAAGCACTTCGGTATTATGGAAATGGCCTTCTTTCATCATTGTGTCCGGATCTTTGGGCAAAAACACGCCGTCCACTGTCGGCGCTGACGGGAATCCCAATATGCCAGTGTACGAATTCCATTGCTGTACTGATATAGTTTTTGCATCAACTCCACGCATGCAGTCCATCACTAAGCTCGGGTCAGCGGCAAGAAGACTACTGTTGCAATTACAATCATCTACTAAAACTTTTCCTATGTCTTGTGCTCTCTCTCCTGTCATCCAACTCCACGGAGCGTTGAGCGTCCCGGATTGCAATATTCCTCTTTTGAATAATCCTTTCATTTCTGGGGAAAGCATATGCAAACTCACGCTCCCCCCTCCGGCCGACTCACCAAATAATGTTATCAATTCGGGGTCACCTCCAAAAGCGCGCGCATTATCTTTAATCCAACGAATCGCAAGTTGTTGATCCCATAAGCCCATATTTCCCGGAGCCTCTTCACTGCCCGGCGAAAAATATTTATTCAAGTATAAAAATCCGAACGCGCCCACCCTATACTGCATAGATGCTACTATTACATCACTGGAAGAAGCCATTATGTCTGCTTTATATAGGTCGAGTGTTGCCGTGCCACTCATGTAGCCGCCACCGTAAATCCACACTAGTATTGGCACTTTGGGCCTCTCCGTAAGAGGTTTATCTTGATGATGACGAACTCGTAAATGTTGCGGAACCCAAATGTTTAGATAGAGACAGTCTTCTGATATGTTTGTATTTGGATTCCACATTTCTTCTCCCTCAAAACCGGGAAAATATTCATACCGTTCTTGATAACAGCTATTTGGCATCGCTGTGGCTTCAAGTACTCCGTGCCACGGGTCGATGGGTACCGGTTTGCGGAATCTTAACGGTCCTAGCGGGGGCTTTGCGAACGGAATGCCGGTGAAGATGTGTACCTCTCTCCCCATAACTGTCTTGGCGTAACCTTTGACGAGGCCACTTTTCGTCTCGACGATGAGTGGATCATTGTGGAAATTCTTTGGTGCTTGACTAGTGGTGGGAGTTGTTTGTGTGGTTGAGGTAGTGGTGTCGTGGTGGTTGGCCCATGACCGCGTCCAGGCTCCTGACACGATGCAGCAGAGGAGGAGCTTGGTGAAAACAATTTTCGTGTTGCTGATCATCTCGAATAATTTTTATCCACACGAGCCTTAACGAGACGTGTCAGAGTACAATCTGAAGTAGTCCGCCAGCTTGATAAGATACTTATTGAAACACATTTCTAGTGGCACTCGATATGCTGCTGCGGGTGTACCTGAAAAAAGAAAAGGGGTTTAGTATCGAGAACAATGAATATTTTTTGTTTTGGGATAGTTTAAGTGGGATCTCGAGGTTTTATCGGGCATAGATATACAGCTTTCTTTTTTAGATTTCTCTTTTATGAAAATCTTGTATAAGTAATTCAATATCTGGTCGGTATATTATGAAAAGATTGTATTCGTATAGAAATTTTATATAGGGTTTCGTTTCCAAGAATTGTATAAATTCTAATATTGTTACACAAAGTTGTTGTTACAGTTAAAATTACGTATCGTTTACAGCGTTAACAGTGGCGTAGATATTAATTAATTAGTCGATACAGAGCGAGTGTAGAGTAACAAGGCTTTAGGGATATGAAACTTTATGGCTTTTAAACTTACTCTTAAGAAGTTCTTCGTGATATTGATACCGGTGAAAGGGTTTGGTAGCTTTCTTTTAAAGTATGTGGTTGGTTTTTAAATGTTTACAGATAATATCAATATAGAATTTTTGAAGTAAATTGCATTGTAAAGAAAGATATTGCTATAGTTTTGAGAATGTGGTATGGTATGCATATTATGTAGATTTTTGACATACCTCTATAATAACTAGACCAATTACATATTGTTTTTAAAACAGGAAAAATGTAAGCAAATCACAAACTTACAAAGACAATATTTAATTCGATTCATTCCGTAACAAAACCTTTAAGCCTTTACCATCCATCAACAAAATACAAGCAAAAATCAACCTTAAAACTGAGGCTAACAAAGAAAATCAATGTTTAAAATTCTATTACGTTACCCTTGACAAAAACAATTGAATTGCTTTACCCTAATAAGAAGCGGTTGATCAATAAATCGTTGAATTTTCGTTTAACCCATTTGGATCCGCCGTCCCCATATGGGGACAGGTTTTCTTTTACCCGCTGGTTATTAATTATTTTAGCTATCTTCACATTTCATGGGTATTTATAATGAGGAGTAGTGTACTTTCCTAAAATTATTAGAACTTTTCACAAATTGCTACAAAAAAGGAAGATATTGTCAATTTTATCAAGAGGAAGTGAAATGGGAATTATTATCGAAAGCAGAGGCGTTTTGTAGTACGTTATTATGAAGATTTATAAAACTTTTTTGTGATTATTGCTTGCTTATAGTGTCAATTAAAACAATATTGAAGAATATCCTTATACTTTCAATTCCGCTTAGGGGAAAGTTAGAAAAAATGATGGTGTCCCCGTATGGGGACAATGGGCACATCTGTAGTATATTTTTAAAACATTTATACCTGATTTGTATTTTGTTTTCCAATTTATAAAGGTCACCTATAGGTTAAACTTAGTTATAGCTAATACTTGGTGACAACAGACGCTAATTCACGAAGAGCATCACCAATTCCGCCATATCTTTACGCGTTCATATTCTAAAATCTGATGGGCATCAAGACCGAAGATGCAAAAGTCCACCTACAGTACCAGGCGTCGCATCCGATATCAGAATTCAGCAGTAGGGGGCATTTCCTCCAGCTGTATTCTGGTGTCGTTACAGCGAAGTCCACCCAGAGGATAGAGTAGCATTATGCCCTGTATACGTTGACCACCGCCGTGTCTTCAGGGAAGTGATCGACGACGAGAATCTTCCACGTTCAGCTTAGGTTCTGGCTGTGGTACGGAGCGAGGGGAACTGGAAAACATCTCTTTCTGCGAAGCAGTCATAGTAGCAAGAACAGATCGCCGCCCAGAACCAGACCTGTACCTGTAAGGTGCGTGGCGTTACGCGCGTGCTTCAAAGTGCAGATCAGACCGCCTTAGATCGAGATGGCGCAGTGGGACAGATGCCCGACTACTATGAATAACCTAGTGGGTCACCGGGGCTTCGGCTTGAAGCAGAATTAGGAACGTGTTGGTTTTTAGCCAGTAAGAGTTCCCCAGGTGGAAAAAGCAATGCATGATTTTTACCCTCAAAAAAAATATAGGCGCGTCACATCAAATTGATTTAGACATTTTCCGCAGAGATTTAGTTAATATCTGTTACGACACGCAGTTCGTCATAAAAAAACTGTGATATCAATGCAAATAATGCGTTAGAACCTTATGTGTCGAAAACAGTTACTACTTCGAAATGTACTAGACATGAGACCGTTGTCCCCAATCAAGGACGGCATTTTTTTTAATATTTCTTAATATATTTTTTTAATTTTTTTTGCTGATATTAGTTTGTGGGCGTCTTATCATTGAGTTAATAAAGTTTTTTTTATTAAATTATGTGTAGTTTGCATTTGGTCCCAAATGGGTTAACCCTAGATCTGTATTCTCTCAGCAGGCGTCCTTCAATTTACCACTGAGTGACAGAAAATGATTGAGGGGTACTTGTACACAAAGACCCGATTTGGATAGCGGCAGGGTTGATATATGGGGGTCTGGGAAATGGTTGTTTACAACGCTCGGTGCCATGCAATTAATATATCCGTTTCAGATATTGACTGGACTGGTTTTGATTGGTTATAGGACTATTTGTAATCTTCGTAATACGGTGTTCAGACTTTAGAAACCGATAGGTGTACCCCCGCGCTTTGCTTTGTAATTAGTCAATTATTTATTGTATCTGGGCATTTAATAAGTACCTGTAGGAATCATTTGAGAAATTTTCATCAAATATGTAAAACAATATATCTACTTCTTTCCCTATTTGTATTACGAAGTACTTATCTAATTGTCAATACAAGTTCGCAAGAAGAAAAACTATTTTTTCATTATTGTTTTTTTTTTCTTGGCATTCGAAGCTGTATCTTAGACTTGCGTGATACATTAACCTAGTAAACTCGAAAATAAATCGAGTTTATGCCACGACAAAGCTCTTAAATAATCGCCTTTATGGCGGGTGTCGTGTGAGTGCGACCAATAGCTTCCTACCGCAACGAATACAGTAATCTCTTTACAATAAGGCAAGTACATTGTACAGTAAAACATAGGTACTTATTTCTTGACAGTGTCTGTGGATGAGTAAAATGCTGTCAGATTTAATTCTTCCACCAATTATGTTTGGTTGTACTTAATTGTTATATTTTAAGAATACCTTTGTTTTTACATATATCTATATAAATAATAAAAGTATCGTATCATATACTAATATTATAAAGCTGAAGAGTTTGTTTTTTTGTTTGAACGCGGTAATTTCCGAAACTACTGGTCCGATTTGAAAAAATGTTTCTGTTTTAGATAGTCTTCTTTATCGAGGAAGGCTATAGGCTATAAAATATTACGCTTCGATTAATAGGCGCCGAGCAGAGCGTGTGAAACCGCGCGGATGTAGCTAGTATATTAAAAACATTGGTATACAAGCAAATAGAGCAATCATTCATGTCATTGTTTTTGCATCCAAAATTGTCTTCTAATATTAATGCTTTTACTGTTGCAAATCTGAAAGTGATCGATCGTAATAGAGTGATTTTATAGTACGATTTTTGTGTCTAGATATATCAAAAGTCTGGAAAGTAAGACCACAGTGACGCCACGGATAAGGGCTAGTTTTAATACAAAACGAAAAATAGCTGTTATTTAACTAAAACTCTAGTAAAGAGGTAACTATTCCAAATAAATAAATGATCGATCCATGCTGAAGAAAAGGGATCAAAATTAGGTAAACAACAAAGATGTATAGCTCCCTCGCTCCCTGAAGGGGTAGGCAGATATGTTGCTTCGCGCATCATTGCCTACAGCCTACAGCTGTTATATTCCAATTTCAGGTTCGACCAAGCGATACTTGACTTACAATTACATTTCATAAAGTGGCAATTAGATTTAGATTTTACATTATTTATATTTCAACTAATAAATCAAAACAAAATTAATTAAGAGCTTTGATCACATTCCAAATAGTATAAATTATAACTTATTAATTTTACTTCATATTTTATTATTTTTATTTGGTTATGGATGTATTTTGTGACGCTTACTAAAAACCATTCAGCCTTGGAAAATTGTTGAAAATCATCCCCTAAATTTATTCATACAAAAGTAGTCTCTAAACATTGAAAATAAGGTCTATAATGTAGTTAGTGGAGAGCGGTCACCGGTGACCGCTTGGGGATATATGGGTTTTCCAGTCCTGAGTCTTGATAGTAAAAAAACTCCGCAAATCCCTGGCCGTATGGGAGTTGAATGATCTTATCTGGCTTAGTCTTGAAATCAAATACTAGCAAAAAGTTATTCTCAATTATTTTCAAAAAGGTTCTCTCAAAACAATATTCTTCTTGTTTATACGTCAACAAAGTATTGGATTTCAAGACTACTACCACTAATTGAGTACTTGTATTGTATTGTGGATCTCCGATACCATTTGAAAACAGTTGAATGACACTTCAAACAATAACATCTATATCAGAAAGGACATGTTTATAAAACATAGAAAAATTACAATTTTACAGACTATGGTTATAAAGCACGAAGTCTAGATTTGATTTATCTTTTCTTGTCTCAAGTTGTATCAAGATTTGGACTAAAATTAAATCTTATTATTCTAACAAAAAAGAAATTAGAATCTAATTAGTATCTACTTACTGACCCTTTCCGAAATATGCAAAATGGTAATTTAAAAAGACAACTATCAATAATGATGAATGATCGTTTTTCATCAAATTCTTCATTTTAAGAGGAAAAAAATAACATGACGTGTTTGTTTACTTAAAAACCATTAGCTGATATACAAAAAAACACTCGGTATTCCGATGCCGTGGAAATGGTAAATCAATCACAATCAATAGCTGAGTGAGTGGATTGTGGAGGTAATGAATGCTATCTATGTGATGGCTGCAGGCTACTCGGTCGTTTTATGGTAAAGATTTAAAACAATGTTGATGTGAACTATTGTAATGATTTTGAACT